CTACCGAACAATCATACGAATGTAAAAGAAACTTAAGTTTAGAGGAAAGCGAGGTGGAAGACGATCACAAAAGAGAGAGACTAGAAAGACCATAAATTCTAAAACTGAAAAAGAGTGTAGCATTTTTAACCTGTCTCAAAAAATTTTAACTTCAGCACAAATTTCTGTTTTAACCAAAGGCCTTAAATTTGCCCCCACACACTCTTTTAAACCTTTTGAAGCCTATTTAGATATTAACAAATTTGTACGAAAAGCTACCCTCAAGAGATTTTTTAGCAATCATAACCCTTCAATTAATCTACCTCCCTCTCCCATTTCCCCCTCACAACAAGAGGCCAAAATCATTAACACCAACTTAAAAGAAAAATCTAAGTTTTATCCTGCTCATTGTAAATCTGCCCCGCTTGTCATGTTTGAGAAACTTGTCCTACAAGATCTAGAAAAAAATCAAACCTACCAAATTCGATATCCACAATCTAACACAAAGTGAAAGATTAGCAATCAAACAATTACAGGATGATAAAACCATAGTAGTTAAACCAGCAGACAAAGGGGGAGGCCTGGTTATACTATCTAGTACTATGTACATCGAGGAAGCTAATAGACAACTCAATGATAGTCAAGTATATGAAAAACTACTATCAGACCCAAACGCCAATATAAAAAAGATTTTTTTAACATTTTTTAAAAAAGGTGCAGATTTTAATATTTTAAATAAACAAGAAATCAATTTTTTAAACGTTCAATATCCGAAAATTCCAGTAATATATTTTTTACCATAAATTCATAAAGATATAACCAACCCACCAGGCAGACCCATTGTGTCCGGGATTGGCTCACTTTTAAGCAATCTATCACAGTATATAGACACTCTTCTTCAACCTTCCGTAAAACTTATGAGGTCCTACCTAAAAGATTCTATGACTCTTAAGATTTTTAAGTAATTTTAGCTGGCAACCCAATTTTATTTTAGTCACGTGCGACGTCCAGTCTCTATACACAATTATTCCACATGATATAGGGTGCAGCGCAGTGAAAAATATCCTCACACAAGAAAACAGAATTTCTAATACCCAAATTGATTTTATTATTGAGGGTATTAATATAATTTTAAAGAACAATTATTTCTGTTTTTTTAACTGTTTTTATCTACAAAAACGAGGCACGGCCATGGGGACTAGGTTCGCCCCCAGCTATGCTAACCTCTTCATGGCAGATTGGGAATCCACTGCCATCTGGGGCGAGCATGCCTGGCGGGCGAACTTGGTTACCTATTTTAGATATATAGATGACCTCTTTTTTATCTGGAATGGCTCAGAAGATTCTTTAAAATTATTTATTGATCACCTTAATCATAATAATAGAGGCATTATTTTATCTTATGAATATAGTAAAACCACTATTAACTTTTTAGACCTGGAAATTTTTATTAAAAATGATATTCTAAATACCAAAACTTTTTTTTTAAAAGTATGCACAAACACAGCCATTGATCGCTCAAGCTGCCACTACAAACCATGGCTGGAAAGTGCACCCAAAAGTCAATTTTTAAGATTGAGAAGAAACTGCTCTCAAATAGAAGATTTTAACTCGCAAGCTGTTTTTCTAAAAAATCAATTTACAGAAAAAAACTATCCATTAGACAACCTTAATAAGACCATAGATTCAGTTAGAACCAAAGAGAGAACAGAACTCCTAAATTATAAAGAAAAAACCTCCGACAATCATCCCAGTCTTCCGATTATTTTTAATTTTAATAATAAAAGTAACCATGTTAAAAAATTTATAAACAAACACTGGCATCTATTACAACATGATGATACTCTAAAGAAAATTATACCAGAAAGACCAAAAATTGTCTTCAGAGGAGCCCCTAGGTTGAAATCCATTCTAACCTCCAATTACACTAAAGAAAGCACAAATAAGTCACAAACCTGTTTTTTACCCAACATTAAAGGGTTCTTTAAATGCAAACACTGTAAAGTGTGCAAATGCACAGATCAGTCGATTAAACCCAAAACCACACACTTCCAATCTAACAAAACCAATATAACATACGATATTAAAGATTTTATTACATGCACTACTAAAAATGTAATTTACCTCCTAGAATGCCCGTGTGGACTCCAATACGTGGGTATGACCACAAGAAGTATCAAAACACGATTAGGAGAACATTGCCGAAATATTATTAATGGATACCAGAATCATACTGTGTCTAAACATTTTAGTATCCATAATAATGATCCTGGTCTCTTAAAATGTATTGGTATAAAAAAATGCACTATTCCATGGAGAGGAGGTAATATTAAAAATATTTTAGGCAAATGTGAAATTGAATGGGTTGTTAATCTGAAAACACTGCCTAATGTGGGTACCTATTGAGTTTTTAGACATGTAGCCTATTTCTAGACTACATGCCCCATGATACCGCCGGCCGGAAGTGACGTCGCGCTTATGACGCGCGTCACGTGATCCGGCCCATAAGATAAAAATTGTTATTAAAGAACGCTCGTTTTTACTCACAAATTATATTACAAGCATCATATAAGTCATATCTATTTAATTTATAACATTAAAAGCTGTTATGTAAGTGCAAAAAAGATCTGTTTTACCATTGGTTGTACAATTTTGGCGCCAATTTTAAATTAATTCTATACCTATATAAACTCTAACTAGCCAGGCTGAAATGTTTATTATCCATTGATAAAGCCTCATATTGGCGAAACGCGTTTGGATATTTTTACTGTTTTATATACTGTCAATAAAAAGATTTTGGTTATTTTTATGTCTAAAACCATCATCTTTTGTTTTTTTGTTACCTGGCCTTTTATATAGTATTTTTCTTTAAAAATACGTTTTCTTTTTAATAATACGTTTTATATCCATTTTATACTTCTTTTATTACTATTATTATTTTTCATTTCCTGGATATTATACTCCAAAGAATCCTAGGTGGGGATTATACCACCCATGCTGTTACATAGAGCAGTTAGCCTGCCCTATATATTGTGAGTATATTTTATTATTTTATTTATTTACCACAATTTTATTGAGAGCACTATCGCTGTTTTATCTTCTCTCCGAGCTCCCGAGATTTTAGTCAAGATCACTCATCCTATATCCCACAAGCGGGGATGATACCGCTGTACGCCTAATCAACTAGAGCTAGTCAAAGCTCTACTGAATGTGAGTGTATCTATTATATCTTATAATTTTTTACCATACGTGTGGAACATACTGCACCATTATTGTCTCCATTTTTATATCCAACTTGGTTACCTGCCACTACAAAGAAGAGGACACTTGCCGCATATCCTGTAAGCGGGGTAATACCGCCGTAAGCCATTCACACCAGAGCTGGATTAAGCTCTGCCAATTGTAAGTAAGATCTCTTCTATTTTTCACATATTTGGATTACTCTTCACGCCATCAACACCTTCTGGATATCGCTAAAGTAGACCCTTGGATACGACAATATAGATCCCACTTGACTAAATATTACTATTTATTGTGCACATTGGCGCAGACCCATCCCCCCATTTTTTCCTGTTTTTACTATCTGACTCCCAAGGACATTAGAGGGATTCCCTGTTTGGGACTGCTGCCTTCCGGATTAGCGCTGACTCTACCCCTTGTTCAATCATACGAATGCTACTTACAATTAAATACAAAGCAGAAACAACACACGAATTGCAGGATTCTCATAGTCTTTAAGGACAGCCACAGTACCATCTGTTCACTGCTCCCCCTTGCCCACAAGCCGGCATACACAGTCTGATCCAACACGGTTCGGCTTGGGGATGTCCAGGGATGCTCACGGATCATTTCTCCAGGTCTGTTTGTCTTGACAACACATCAGCGTTCCCATTCTGTTTGCCCGGGCGGTACTGAATGTTAAAGTCAAAGGGCTGCAGCGCCAAGCTCCAGCGCAGCAGCCTGGCATTGTCCCCAGCCACCCGGTTCAGCCATACTAACGGGTTGTGATCCATGAGCAAGGAAAAGGGCTGTCCATACAAATACTGCTGCAATTTCTTCAGGGCCCACACCACAGCCAGGCATTCCTTCTCGATGGCGCCGTAGGTTACTTCTCTGGGTAACAACTTGCGACTGTGAGCTACGGGATGTTCTCCCCCATCGGCACCGACTTGGCTCAGTACTGCTCCCGATCCAAACATAGAAGCTTCTGTGTGAACAAGAAAACGTTTAGTTGGATTGGGAGCTGCCAAGACAGGGGCATTTATCTGTGCATTTTTCAGGTGCTGGAATGCCTGTTCACACCCCGGGGTCCAGGTTACTTGGCGGGGAAGGTTCTTACGGGTCAGGTCGGTCAGGGGTTTGGCCACGGCGCTATAGTTAGGGACGAATTTCCAATAATACCCTGCTGTTCCTAAAAACGTTAACACCTGAGTCTTAGTCCTAGGGGTGGACCATTGGGCTACGGCCTCTACTTTGGCGTCCGGGGCCAAGGGAATTTGCCAATACCCCTTACACAAGTCAATGGTAGTGAGGTAGTGACCCCTGGTCATCCTATCCAGCAGTTCGTCTATCCTGGACATGGGATAGGCGTCCGACACGGTCTTCTCGTTCAGCCTCCGGTAGTCCACACAAAAACGGGTCGTACCATCCCGTTTTG